CTTGGGGTACTTGGGCCACAACTTGGACTTTACATGTTGACTTCAGTATACTCAGGCCTCAATTTGAGCAATTGGTGTTTTATCAGTCACACATCTTGTATACTTCTTATGTAATAATATCTATCATAGACAACCATACACTAGTTGTAAACCAGTCTGTTTTAAGGCTGTAGAAGCAGCTTTATAGTCTATTAGAAGAAGGGCAATAACATGTGATAGAAGACTTTAAGTTGTTACAATGTGCTTGTTTCAGTAGTGATACAGAGGTACAATATCCAGATAATGCTCAAGAATAGTGGTATCAGTGGTGGATGTCCAAGTTCTGCTATGGTACAGGTGAGGATGGTGAAGAACTTCTCGGAGTCCAGCAAAGAGCGCTATATATGGCTGCTATTCTGTGCTACAGTGTGAGCTTCTGTGATGTAGTGGTTGAACATGCTGTGTTGGACACTGAATATGCAGGTCGCCAGTTCAATTCCCTGTGGTGGCATTTTTTTTTTGCCGCCGCTGCACCCGCTAACAAATAATGTACACTTGACCTTGATCAAGAGCAGCTGTCCTTTGATTGACTTTCATGCATATCATCTTTATTCAATACATCTCACAGTGAACTTGGGCATGAACTTGAACAGGGACTTGGAGGACTTGGCCAAGTACCTGGTACTTGGCCAAGTCGACCCACCTGACTTGGCCAAGTCTATTGGACTTGGGGTACTTGGGATACTTGAGGTACTTGGCCAAGTACCCCAAGTACCTGTACAAGTCCGTGACGTTTTCCTGATGTATATACCTGGCTACCGACTCTGGCTCTAACTGCTGTGAGGCCAAGTGGATAGAGCGGCCATTGTGGCCCCCTTCCTCATCTGGGTACTGGCCGTGTATCATCCACAGATCGCTGGAATAACGTACTTGTACGGCCAACGTCTCTTGCAACACTCAAGCAAGAGCTGTTGTGCAATGATGTTGACGAGCAGCTGTTCGTCATCTATCATATGAAGGACCTCTACAGGCCGCCTAGATGAGTAGATCGCACTGCAGTACTCGCATTTTGGGCTCTAAGGTCGAGCACAACAGCTTAGTCATGTCTTTCTTCGTCTCGAGCTGCCTGATGTGAGAGCTGGCCGCTGGATGAGGATGAACCACATTCTGCCGAAGAGCTGGATCGTGGCGCGTGAAAATACATTCTAGCGATTTTCCACCCGGGACAGAAGGAAACTGGTGATTGCACACGAGCACTGCCAGCACAGCGTGAAGCACCAGATTTTGGCAGGAGAGAACATGCAGAGAATGTGCGGATTCCCACCACATTTGCTCCACATTCTCCCCCATGTTCTCCAGGACGGCGAATCTGTAGACTATATGCATGTTGCCTGGACAATCTCATCATGTTCTCTAGTTCTCAATTTGGTAGCCTCGAATAGCTCAAGATAAGTGATATTGAAATGACTTTCTGTCTGATAGGTTATTGATGCTACAGCCTTGGATGCGCATTTATTTGTAAGTGTGGATTGTGTCGAGATCACGATCCCAAGTTGTACCAGTACACTACTATTCTAGGTCTGCATCGATCTCAACCACTGCTGCATCCATCTACTGTCGACAGTCGACCTCGGGCTGTCACCATGCTCGACAAACCATCCTGGCAACAACCGAAATGATGCAAGTACAAAAGCAAGTCTCGAAGAAGGCTCTCGGATATGACGTCTTTGGTCTGCGAACTGTCCACACAAGGAATGCGCACTTGCAGTGGTGCAGGTCAGCAGCCAGAAAGCCGTACCTCAAGGCGAGACTCAAGAGCGGATCCGAGTGCAAAGAGAACCTGGAGAACCACTGTCGAGCAATGGATGTGCGCGGACTGTACACGAGGATCTGTCCAGTGCCGATGTTGCAGACCGGGAGGGTGGAGCACTCAGCACATTGTCGATGGTGTCGGAAGACTCGATCTCACATCATCATGGTTCTTGGCAACGTCTCCTGGCCGTACTAGTATGTCTTGAGTCTCATCACCACCTACACTTGCCATTTGGGGGTCATCTCTGGACTCTGCAACCGACACGCCTCCTTCGCCGTCTTCCTCACTACTAGTCAGCTGGCCCTTTGGACGACCATGAAAATGACTGTGCCGGATCCTCTGGTGTTTTCGGTCCTTACTGGGGATAGTGACTTGTCTACGCCGGTGCCCTTGTTCGAGAAGTTCCCCCCTATCTGTCTCGCTTTCCTCCATTTCGAGCCGGCCAACATCTTTGATGGGTGCTGAGAGACGCCTGGACGCAAAGCGCGCCATCATCAAGTTGTGTCTTGAAACATATCCCAATACTTCCCGGAAGCTGGCACATTCCCTTCTTACAATGCGCAAACTCATGCCGATTTCTGGCAGGGTTAACTCCTACATATACGGACATCACATGAAACTCAAGGAGATGCGCTGCTTGTGGTGTATGTCGATCAGCTGCCTCACCAGCTGCAGCATCCTCGCTGCTAGCGGGCACTCTACAAGCCGCGCGCTAGCTTTCATCCGGCGACCCAGTTATCTTTTGTAGTTACGTAGGCATTCATGTCCGTCTTGAATCTGTGTGCCTAAATTATCATCGCGCGGTGGATATGCGGTCCAGTATAACCTCGCAAATGGAGCACGCGGGATGTGGCAACATGTGCGCTGACAAATTGATGAATTCTTGATATGGCACCAGGTAATCCAAGCTTCGTGGTATCCGGATCTGTCCTAAATTGTCTACGCTAGAGAATGTGTGGCGAATATAGAAGGGAATGTGTGGAGAATGCGTAGCTCTGTGAGAGGATGAACACGCATTCTCCTTTCTCGGAGAATGTGGCGGGAATGTGGGGAGAACGTGGTGGGAATCTGCTCATTGCCGCCGTGTTCTCCTCCCTCCGAAATCTGACGTTTCACGCGGTGCAGGAAGTATAACATGCTGATGCGGACGCACCACTTCAGATAGCCACCACGAACAAGACACCAGACGACTAGTTCAGTCGAGGAGAAATAAGGGAGATACACGACAGAATTATCCAGCAGCGCATACACTGCCATGAATGAGAACCCGGGAATCGCGACGGGAAGACTGCACCAAATACCCGAGCGCCGTTGGAGTACCGCCACAGCCCGTTCCCAGTCCAAACTGCGTGGGAGCGCTTCAAACAGGCTTACGGCGCGAAAACTACGTTGCAAGAGGCGACGAAGGCGGCGATGAGGACGTAACACTGGCTAAGCAATGGCACGGCTCATGGTTACGTACGCCGCTACCGGACGCTCCCCGGCCGCTCGCTCTCCTGGCTCGCGCGAGGGAACAGTTCTCCATCTGTGTCTGGATTCCAATTAGCAAGCGTGAGCGACATGCGCTTCGGGCTCCGACTACTTGGATCCGCCTCTGCATCCTCATCTTGCGAGTCGCGGCCGACACGCGGGACAGGGACCTGGTATGGGTAACTGACCGCTGTACCGACGGACGCGACAGACCCTGACGGACGATGACCGGGAGCTTGTAGGCGCGGGGGTGGCGGAGGCGATGGTGGCGGCGGCGGCGACGAAAAGTGTGATGGTGGCAAAGGCGATGTGGGGGTGATAGGTCTCCCGGATAAGTAGGGAGTCGCCGTCTGCAGGGCGTTCGGAGTGGGGGGTTGCGAGTGGGGGAAGGTGGGAGTGTATGGGCCAGATGTCAGACCTGCGGAGTGGGGAGGGAACCCGGCCGAATGGGGCCCTGGCGACAGACCCGTGTAGACTAGCGACTGGGGACGAGTAGGAACCGGGGATGGATTGGGAGAGGAACCTCGCGACGGGGACAGCTCTCGCCGCCCTACGAGACCGTACTGATACGGCTTCGGTTCCTCGGCGTCGAAGATGGAGGATTCAATTTTCGAGCGACGCCTAGGGTACACGGAAGGTTGCTCGTTGTTCCACATTTGATCCCGGAGGTGCAATGCGCGGATAGCATCGCGCTTGCGCCTGGGAACATATCAATGACTGAGAGAGGGGTGATTGAACGGCAGCAATGCTCACCACATGGACCAGCCAAGCAAGACTATCAACATCAGGCCTAAGAAGCCTCCCAGGGTGCCTCCTATTATGGTACCCACGTCCCCTCGGATGCTACTGCCATGATCACCACTGCCTCCTCCTAAATCTGTTGGGATGAGCGAGGGATTTGGGGGCTCCGTAATGGTGGTGGGAACGAGTGATACGACCACGGAACCATCAGGGAGCGTGGAAGTCGCCGACGACGTGACGACAGATGTGTTGGGGGGCAGAGTAGTCCCCCCGGCGAAAGGAGGGAGTGATGTCGCGCCGTTACTTGTGCCCCCATTGCTTGTCCCGCCATTACTCGTGCCGCCGCCACTGGATGGACAGGTGGAAAAGAACGTGGCAGTGGGCGTGGATGTCGTTACAGGAACTTGAACTACGAATTGCGACTCGATGGTAGTGACCTCTTGGCCTACAGGACAGCACCGTGATTAGTACGTGCATTTGGCGAAAGATTCCAACGACAGAGAAGTCTCGAGTATCCCTGAACGTTCCCATTGTGCCAAGGTAGGCATCTGCGTACCGTAAGGTCCACCGCAGGCGATAGCTGCTCGTTGGGTGCGCACAGCGTTGAGACTCGATCGCCGCACCAAGTCGCATTTTTGCGCCGAGAAAAGGAATCAGCTCACTTTGTATGGTGGTGAAAACTTCCTGAGACTGTGTCAGAACGCAGCTCGCGGTCCCATTCGCATCCACCGTCGAGCTCTCGCAAAATGTGCTCAGGAAGGTGCTGATCTCGGCCGGGATCGTAGTGACAATTTCCGAAGTGGACGTCGAGACCGTGGAGGTCGTCACGACGTCAAAGAGCGTCTGCGTCGGTGTCGGAGTGCATGCCATAAACGAAAGCAGGCCGTCCGCGAGGACGGCAGGGAGGATGATGACGGGAATGGAGAAAGGCAGTAAGCGGGCATTCGTCCCCGATGGATGCGTGATAGATGCACTCGACAGTCAGGTCGAGTCTCCGCCGTGAGCCCTCAGGCTTTCCTCCCTCATGTCAGACAGCAGAGGGCCAGAGACAGTACTAGCATTCTTTCTCAGACATAGGTCTCGGACGTAGTGGAGGTGAGGAGGGCGGGGTGTCCGACGGCGCTCATAGGCTTACCCGATGCCGATGCCCGCCCACAGGCCCGAGCTCTCCGCAATCCACCACCATCGTCTCAGCTGAGCTCGTCGTGTGCATCTCAAGTGGAGTAAGATTCTCAAATGTGGTGAGTATCCCTCTATGTGTGCAGAGAGTGTCCTCCTTAGGTCTCCATGGGTGCACAAACATTGGCTATATGCGCTCTTCCTCATCAAACGGAGTACACTCAACACTCTTTGCCCACCAGCAAACACGTCCTGAATGCCCAAGTCGCCATCCGCGCACCGTGCTGCAAGCAATGGTTCGACTGCGCAGAATGCCATGCCGAGACACAGACGCACCCGCTCGCCAAGACGACGGAGATGGTGTTCTTGTGCAAGAAGTGCAAGAAGGCATTCCGGAAGGACATGTCTGAGTATGAGGAGAGCGACGAGTACTGTCCGCATTGCGACAACCACTATGTGAGTCTTGCGCCTTTCTCCCTCGCTGCGATACGACCGTCATCCTCCCTAGGTCATTGAGGCCAAAACACCACAAGCGGTCCTCGGTGTGGAAGGGGAAGATCCACGCATAGATGCCCGGTGAGTGAATTTCCATCCGCAGATACATGCAGAGGCTCAATGGGTTGTCATTAGGATGTTGAAAGATGATCGTACCAAGGAAGACCGAGCACGATCATTGCTCAACCTGGACACGTCGGATCGGCTGGGCTAGGTGGTCTCATAGCGGGCCGCTCCTTGTTCTTGCTTTGGTGCGTGTGCCGATCGCCGTGATTGGAAGTGACCTGACAGGAGGCATGTATCTTAGCATCACATGTTTCATAGTGTAGAGCCCTCCGGGCAGTCCTGGCCACGGTGGCCTTGATTGCAGTTTGCTTCGGTGTCCTTCGAGACTGCTTCAATGCACAGTACAGTCCTTGCGCGCGTCGGGCGGGCTCGCGCCCGCCCTCAACGCGCCACGACTGTGCTTTCCTACATGCTATCATTATTCTTCCTCGATGGGGTTTGTGGCGGGCTGCGGTCGGGCTCCGCCCTCCCTTCAGCCCGCTCTTCCCCACCAGCACAAGCTAAGGGGCGCCAGCGGTCCCCTGAGAATCACCTACTGCCCTTGTGCAACTAAAACGCGAAACCACGCGAGCTGGTACCCCCACACGGACTGGTACATACTGCCATACAGACCTGGTCACTCCACGTGACCAGGAATACACGTTTCAATGCATCTCTCTCGTTCCAATCTTGCCAGCAGTGTATACGCGACTGTCAAATGGCCATATATCTCTCCTGGTGGTCTCCGTAGTTCAACATGCGGTCGGCACGACCATAGGGACCCATTCCTCTGACCGTCATCATGTCAAAGCGTCAGTGACGGGGTGAACAGGAGGTAGATACCTATGCATGCTCACGGATGCGGCCTGTGGCATTAACTCTTCTGCGCATATGGGGTATATTCTATCCTCCTCTCGTCAGATCATGCAAAAGGTTTATTTCGGCACATATTTCGGCGACTATGATGCGGGCTGGTCCTTCTCGCCGGCCATTTTTCAATGTCAAGCGAAACTTCTCAGACACCAATCTTACTGCGACTCAGGCGCCTCGATCCGGCCTCCCGTTATGTGGCAGGGCAGCACGCAGCTGTCCGATATGGTTCGCAACGTTCCCATGCGTGTTACATGTGGCGTCAGCTTGGCCACTCTCTTCGCTCTTTCTTCCTCTCAATAACAGTGTCGGAAACGCAGCTCGGCATTCCATCCTTTTGGTTCCCTAGCGATAGCAGATGTCGTCTCTCAATAGGTTCTTCGTGACCAATCATGTGAGTATATCAACAAATATCCTGCTGTATGATCGATGGGTAGGACGTCTGGGTGGCGTTAGTATACCTAGTCCTCGAAAAACCGCTGACTTACTATATATTGCAGTTGTTGCTTGCAGGTCCATGCAACCAGGACAAGTCGGCAGCAACGCTGTACCATGAAACTATACAAACCATCTTCGCTCTAGGGAGCGAGTTGGAAGGACACTTCCTCCATGCCCTCTCTGACGATTCCATTCTGGAACATCACCCGTGAGTCGACCGTTATCTGTCCATTATCGGTCACCTATCGACCAGTAAGTCCAAAATACTCTGTAGACCTGATCGCATCGCGTACTTGGATGGGCTGGAGACACGGTTACTGGATGTTGCTTCATGGATTGGGAATGTCCTGAACGATGCGATGCAGCGGGTGTTCGTGATCAGGAGAGCAATGCCCTTCGGTCCGCACACCGACCCTCAGATCTTCGAATCCTTGAACGACCTCGCCCTCATTGGCTGCAAAACCGACATCATGCCCACTATTGACGCAGTCCGTGGCCGCCTTACGTCGCTGGCCGAGACGCCGGCTTCCGAAGCGAAGCGTTTTCACTACACCGTAGCCCACATCCTTTTCGCAGTTATGGTGCTACGGAAATACCTGTTTTGTTATGTATGGGAAGGTTCGATAGTCCAGTATTCTATGTGAGTCCTCTGGTCTGCCATCTCATGACGACCAACCTGATAACATGATTAAAGATTTAGAGATACTGTCACAGAGGTGCTCCAGGTGAGGTCGCAAGTGTTCAACAGATTCCAACGACTACTAGTACCTCTGCACTGTTATCGGAATGCCTTGGTCCCCATCAACACCCTACCGGACGATGTCATGCTAGATATCTTCCGTGAAGCGGCGCCAAGGGATGTTGGACACAAGCACTCCATCCTACGCACGTGTACCCGATGGCGTCATCTGAGCCTGAGCAACACTGCCTTCCTTACGACACTAAAGCTACCGGAGGACCCGAGGGAACTTGGACCCATTCTGGACGCCGCCCGTCAACTCGTTCCGGAACCATCTCTCTACCTCACCATTGACTGGGAGGACGTCCGGCCAAGCCTCGTTCGCAGCCTGCGTAGTACCCTTTCCGACAACAAATCAACGATGACGAAGATGACGGTTTCGAACCTTCCTCGACTTTATTCGCAAGATTGGGATTCAGACTCGGAGGATTACGATTGGTCTGATGCAGAGTCAGAGGACTTGGGGGAGCTGGAGGAGCTCAGTCTGCTTGAAGAGTTTGTCCCCTCGCTCCGTGCGCTGGAACTGCGCAGATCGGGGCAAGGGCTTCTGCGCGCTCGCGATGACTGTATCCTTCCGAACGTATTCGGCGAGAGCGGGGACAAGCGCCTCGAGGTCCTCATTCTCGTCAACTGCCGCTTTCCATACACCCCAAGATGCTACTCGGGAATCCGGACGCTACATATCGAGTTCGACAGCCCGCCAATGCGGAGGAGGAAGAAGGACAGGCAGTGGGACGGTCAATTCATCGACGTCCTCCTCACTTGTCCCCACCTGGAGCACTTAGTGCTTCGACATGTCCCCATGTCCCTCGAGGAGGCAATCGCCCACTGGCCACTATTCTCTGTGCCGCTCATGAACCTTCGCATCCTGCGTGTTGATCTGGACGTCTAGAGAGTAGGAGGTTTGCTGCGAGGCATCAACACCTCGGCGGAGAACCTCAGAGTAGTGGACATAACCCTCGGTGACCTGAACTGCTGCAACACGTTCAACCAATCGTGGACCCAAGCGATTCTCCGCGCAACATTGGCGCCTTTCTCTCGTTTCACCTCGGAATCTTTACCCGTGCTCAAGCAGCTGGAGTTGCTTACGATGCTTCGCGGGATGACTGTCCACGGCAGGGGCCCCCTGCGTCGAGATCCTAGCGGAATGCACACGGCGTCACCTCGTTTCGACCTCAGGTTGACCCTTCCATCGGACGGTAGCGAACGTGATAGCATGGATAGCGATATTTCCGGGGGACCAACGGTTTCCTCGGATGATGGCATAATGTCCATAGACTCTGCCGTGGACAACGAGTCTCCGATGAATGTCGCTTTCGACAGGTTCACAGACTTCTTGTCTCAATGCTCGCTGCACAACGTCTGCACCATGCGATTGTACCTCTTCACTCCCGACATGACCTTGAAGGTCCTACGTGCAACACCTCGCATCCAGGAGCTGACCCTCGACGATCCGACCATTATGGTGGAAATTGCAAGTGCAAGCGCAAAGGCCCATACATACCGCTCGATGTGCCTGCGGCTCGAGACCATCACTCTGGAAAGATGCACTCTCCGCGGGGATCAGCTCAGTGCAATATGCAGAGCTGCAGGGGTGCTAAAGCTTCGGACGTTGACCTTGGCACAGTGCGACTCAGACCTGGAGCCAATGAATGTCCTAAGAGGGCTAGGAAGACACGGTCTTAACGTGCGATGGCTGGAGGACCTTCCGACAGACGGACTTTGCCGTGACCAATTTCAATTCAATTGACTCGGATGGGTCACTGATAGAGTGGAATTGTCAAGACTCGCAGGGGCTGGGTAAGGAGCGACGCCCCACCGACCGTCTATTCCGAGATGTCTGATCCTAAGTGTAGCATAACACAATGTATGTATAGTTCACCGTTTCCTATAAGTCAAAACCGTTTTGTGATCATCCTGGTCCGTAGTTAATGATACACGGCGCTCAAGTTCGCCGGCGTTCCGCTTCATCGTGGAAAAACGGAAGGACCCGCTATCGTAGTGCCCCTGCATGACGGTCGCGCCCATGCCATGCATTCTCCACGACGAGCCTCTCCCATAGCCTTCGCCTTCTCGTGGACGGATATATAGTATAAGTATGTAATGGCTACAATAAGTCAACCTTCCGCAGATGCGGCCCTGACTGAGACACTGCCTCCTCTCTGAGAAGCTTCGAATGAGAGAACCAAATTCCCAAGACACAGCACAAAGAAGATACTCCACAAGTTACTATACCCGCTTCAGACCCGCAAGACGGAAGTGTCTCCGGACATACGCGTCTCCGGTGGCTGCTAATCCCAAGTAAGCTGAGCCAATCCCCTTTCTATTCTGCCCAACCCATATACGACCCTGGCCCTTGCCTGACACCGGCATTTATCGCCACCCTACCAGTGTCCTCGAGGCCGCCTGTCTTCCCTCTTGGCAGATCGCAAAGCGAACAACAGGCCTCTTCCGGGTACAGCGAACGAACAGGGAAGCGAGGCGACGCAGCCCGTCTACCATAGGAGATCTACTCTCCGACTTTGCCTGATGACCTGCCCGATTCCCGCGCCCATCGTCGCACCGGTCTTCCTAGCATATGGACAACCCTAAATCAGCTTCCACTCGCCACCGCGCTGGCATATCCCCCTTGAATTGTCCCACGGAACCTATTTGTGCGCAGAGTTGCGTGTCTGTACGGCGTCTCAGTAACGTTAGCATCTTTCATTCCGGCGCCGGACGTAGGCTGCACAGCCTTCCATTGGCCGAGTTTTACCAAAGAACGTCCTAACGGGCGCGAAGATACCAGATCTACCCCGCACGGGGTTCTGCTACATATACTCGACTCTTGCGCGACGACGTCCCCGCAATCTCTTCGGTACCCCTGCCAGTACAATCTTGTTCATCCAGCGCACAGCTTATCCGGAGGGCAATTTTCTGAAAAAATGTCAGGTGAAACTTACGAGCAAGAGCTCATCGCCGCGTACCCTCGTCTGTAGGTGCTCGACAGTCCACGTTTGAATTGCTCACTTATTGAATCTGCCCTATAGTTTGGTCGAGAACTATTGCATTGTTGCGTCCAGCGGTGAGTCTCACATGTCCCGTTGCCTTTGAGAACCTGCTGATCGCATGGTATCTAGCTCTTCTATGGTTCGACTTTGCCCTGACCTTCACGACCGAAGTCCGGCGCATATGGAGACGTAGATTCACAGGGGCAACGCTCGTGTACCTCTTCACGCGCTATACGGCGCTCTTGGACCGCCTATTCTTTGCAAGCGAGGTTTTGTTGTGGAACTCTAGCAATAGGGTGGGCATTCAGTCTTTCGGACAAGCTTCGGCGCCACTGATGAGGTTTTGACCTCTACAAGACTTGCGGCGGGATTGAGCGTGGGGATGACGTTATGCTGCTCCTCAATTACCTCGCGTTTGCTGGTAAGGCTTGCAGTTCACTCACATGCAGGCGTACACTCATGTCGCCCAGCTTTCACGACCCTCCGTGTGTACGCTGTCTGGGGGCGAGACTGGAAGCCACTGCTGCTTGTCGTTCCCTTGACACTTGCCAAACCTGTACTGCAAATTGTAGGCTCTTCCAACATGCAACCCTTTACGCTTCTCGGCTGACACGAGAGCACAGTACGAGGCCACCCACTACAGCCCGGTGCAGGCCGGAGCACCGTTTGGCTGTCTCCTTGGGTGGACGATTTCGGACGCTCTACTTACGAAGTCAGTACCACTGTACCTATGCGTTGTCGTTGTAGAATTCTTGTACTGATCTTTTTGTTTTAGATGTAAGCAGCATAGGGCTAGACGGTCAATTGCGCACTGACCCTTCCTTCAAAGTCACGATTATTGCGCAAGCCACGACGATCGCAGCTGAAGCTATCCTCATCGGCCTTACGTGGATGAAGACATTCGGCATTAATCGAGATTCATTAAGGCTTGGCGTGCGCACACCGCTAGCGACGCTCCTCCTTCGGGATGGCACAGCTTACTTCATGTATGGTATCGCTCATGAGGGACTGTTATCATATACTGACGCTCGGTGCAGCATCCTACTCCTACTTGAAATCGTCACACTCGTCACCAGCAATATAGGTTCCGTACGTCCTGCCTGTCTTCCTTGCCCTTTCCACTTGCTGAAGTCACGTCATTAGCAACTGACTGTGTGGATGGTCTGGCCCTACTTTTCGCAAGTGTAAGCATTCGGGATCCACTCACCGCTCCACCTTCATCCCGGCTTAAACGATGTCTAGATTCACCGTCATCTTCCTGTCGCGCTTCATGCTCGACCTCCGTGGGCTCTATTTCGCCGATCGCGCGCCCCGTGTCCACGGCGGACCCAGCGCGCCTGCTGGCGCTGAGTCCACCTTCTCCGTCAAGATGTCCGACATTCACTTCAACATCTCCAGAATCGTCGGAAACATGGGCGCGACGCTCTCGCACCCAGACAACACGTCTAGCATCTCCTCGGACGCCTCGGGGTTCGCGAGCACCCTCGACGTCGAGTCGCGCGCCGCGCATGTGGATGGGATCAAGGAGGTCAAGCGGAGTGGGGAGGGCGACGGATGGTACGAGGACGAGAAGCCTATCTTCGTGAGCGATCCGTTCCGGGAGGGTCTGCGGCCGCCTGTCATGGTAGACATTGAGCTAGAGGCGCCCATTAGCCCCTTGAGCCCGGTCAGTACCTCTATTTGGACCCACCCTTGCACAGTTGACGAACCTAGTACCTACGCAGGCATCATACCAGGACGGGTCACAGGCATCCTCATCGCAAGTTTTCTCGCATCTGTGAGACCACAAAGGTCTCGGAAAAAGGATGACGAGAATGGAGCAGTCGTTCCAAAATGTACAACAATGTGATCCAATACCCCCATACCCATGCTGAATGACAAACGTGGACCGTCCTTCCCTTGAGAGCGCTCTGGATGTTTGAGTGTAGTAGTTGTATGCGGATTCCCAATAGGTTCATGACCTTGGCATGAACAGCCTGTGCTGATGCTATCCCAGGGGACTTCTTATGCCGACATATCTCGTGAGAATCGATGACATCAGTAGAGATCTCCTAGGATTGCATCGAGATCAAGCTATGCTCGGCGCTGTCCAGCATAATTGTGGCGGTCCTAGCCGCACAACCCAGTGCTCTCTCGTCTTCTGCCACCACCGCTCATCTATACGCATCGGCCTGTGTACGCTATTCAGCAAGTACTTAACGCCCCTGCCTTTCAGTCATGCGCTGACATCACATCCAGCAGGCTCCTCAACGCTCTACACCTAATTTGCAGACATGTCCTACGGAGTAAGTCCTGTGCCCCTCTACTGTCTCTATCGTGACATCCATCTTTCCCCACTCTTCGAGCGATCTCAAGAGGGGTTCAAGTCGCTCATTGACATCCATCTATGTGATAGGGATACGGCGGGAATCCTGGTTACGGCGGGGCTCCCAGTGGATACGGTGGCCCTCCCGGGTATGGCGGTGGCGGCCCGGGACCTGGTGGCTTCGCGCCTGCGCCTCCTGGCCCTCCTCCCGGCACGGACCCCCAGTGAGTTCTCTTCATGAGCTTCGTTATCACAATGTAAACACGGAACTATCGCGCGCAGGCTTTGGAGCTGGTTCTCGGCCGTCGATACCGACCGATCGGGCCACATCACCGTGCACGAGCTTCGTGAGTACCTCGCCCTTGCGCGTGCGAGTCCTCTCGCTGACGCGAGGTTTGTGGCATCACAGAGAAAGCCCTCATAAATGGAGACTGGAGTCGTACGTACGCCGCTTCGCGGACGCGCGCCTCAGTACTGATCTAGTGCGGCGCTCCACTCAACAGCGTTTGATCTCGACACCGTCAAGTTGCTTATGTCGATCTTCGTGAGCAGACCATCATTTCAGACCCGCGTCGCGTTCATTATTGATGGGAACACAGGATACGGATCGCAGCGGGACGATCGGCTTCAACGAGTTCTCCGGACTGTGGAAATACATTAAGGACTGGCAGAACGTCTACCGCCACTTCGACCGCGACCAGTCGGGCTCGATCGACGCCAACGAGCTCAGACAGGCTCTCCACCAGTTTGGCTACTCTCTTTCGCCACAGCTCTTGCACCTCGTAGAGGCCAAGTACGGTAAGCCCCTTTCGCTCTCGCCCTCCCGCCGCGTCTGCCCCTCCAGTGGCTCTTGGGGGATTAGCTTGCATATCCTGATCGGTCTCCCCGTTTGGGGCAGGCATTCTTCAAGGCACCGGTCCGAGCCATGGCCCCCACGGTGCGCCCTCCGGAGGCGGGATCACGTTCGACCGCTTCGTGCGCGCGTGCGTGGTGATCAAGCAGATCTCGGAGTCCTTCCAGAGGCTCGACACGGATCGCGATGGCTGGGTGCAGGTCAACTACGAGCAGTTCATGCACACCGTCCTCTCCTTACCCTAAGCTGGTGCGCGCAAAGTCCTCAAGGATGTTGCGGCGGAGCGTCGTCCAGTGCGGAAACGAGAAGGGGGAAATGGAGATGAAGATGAAATGTGCAGACACGAGTATCGCTGCGCTCGTTGTACTGGCTTGGAATGTGATGATGAATTACGGACGATTCAGTGGTACCACTTGTAGTAACAGTCAGTGATCCCCAATTGCGAACCTTGAATGCATTCGAAGCCTAGCGTGAGCCTGAGCGGTATCCCTATATCAGCTCCAGACGGGTCAAATCCGCGCTAGGTTGACGGTCAGTGAGCAAGGGCACAATAAGCTGGTTCAATGTCATGTTGAATGAGACAGCCGGACCCACTTGACCCTAATGTTCGGACGCGGTAGCTGATTTTGGTGTAGTCATTCTCGGAAATTGAGAATTATGCTGTGATTGCTACTGGGTTTCTTGAATGAACGTTCACCGAGGTCAAAATAACACACATCTCTGACCACAGGCCGTTCATCGCACTGCGAACGATCTGGGGCAAACACATACCTCAGTAACCATTCCGTCCAAGCGGTCAAGCTGATTGTACTGAAGGCCGAAGTTTTTCCGGACTCTCTACAAGACTAAATAGGTTGCCCGCACCCTTTTGAGGCCTGTTGGAGGGAACTAAGCATATCGAAGGCAACGAATACAGTCAGTTGGCCTAGGCTTATGGGACGTCCGTAATCCTCTTTGCTCGTGCTTGGTTGGCTTGTATCCTCTAGAAGGACGGCCAGAATAGGACAATATTCTTCTGGCGATGACTGTGGGACGGCACTCTTAAGAGGAAGAATATACAGACATATACCTGCGGTATACGGACTTGAATATATGAAGTGTATGCGCAAGTACACCAGCAGACATATACCTCTACAAGGGACTGCTCACTCACAGATCACGATGCAGTCTTCCAAGGGTCGGAATGTGCACTATCTCACCTGTTCGTCAAATTCTACCTGAAGAAACAGCTTTACCGCCGACAGAACCATTAGACCGTCATAGACACATTAGACCGATTTTCCGGAAGGGAGAGACTAGTGATATTAGCACGCATATATGCGGCCTCGCGACGTCAGATGAACCCGACATACTCACCTGGCCGAGGCGGGGTGCAGTGAGGAGGACGAGGACGCGCTCAGGCGCACCTATTGCTATATCAGGCATGTACCCAATTCATCCTCAAAGTTGTGACGAATTTCACCCAAATAGGTCATAAACTCGATTCGGTCCGATCTGACAGGATAAAAAGTAGCGCAAATTGTGCTCGGGCGCATAAGTAATTTGCGCCGAGCCTGCCAGGTGCACACAATATTCATGGCCACCCGTTATTGAAGTGCGGAGGACCAGATATCCATACGTTTACCACTTTGGAATATGGAGAGGCTCTCACCGAATACATGTATAGCGTGAACGAAGTTTGGTACGGCCCGTTTCTATCGTCGACATACTCAGACTCATGATAACTTTGCACCAAATCTAGTCGACATTGATACCCTGTATCGCCCTGCATCGTGATTTGACCCTACCTGCTGGCCAGGGTCCTATTGAAGCCATACCATACTATTGTTGTTAGTACCAATCCATTTCGCATTTTGTATTGTGAGCTACTACACTCCAGCACTTATGGTACAGCTGTCTCAGGATGGCGGGTTATCATTCCGGGCCGGGACGTTTTCCATTCGCATTGTTGCTCTTGAATAGCTAGCTGTCTTGCGTAGCTTGCATCTAGTCGCTGTCAGTCTAAGATTGGCAGGTCTCTGTGGCCCCTTCCCACCGAAACCCTCTCCGGATGTCCCTTACGGCACAATGTCCACTGGCTTAGTGAGTCCTCGCGAGTAGCATTAGCATTACTAGCGTCGCCTATGCCTATCGGAGTGTACGTGAAACAACTCGCGGTACACAGTACTCTTGCAATCGCGGCAGAAAGTCGGCTTTGCCGTCCATGTTCGTCAAGTCTCATCAGAAGAAGAAAGGCTAACATGATTCGGTGAAACCATGGGGGTACCCGCTACAGCTAATCTCATCGTCATTCCCTGCCAGCTGTAGGCTAGGAATCATCTTCCTAACGAGCAATATTTGATAACGTCGCCCGCATGGATAAACTTCGGAAATAGGAGGAACGTGTTACGTCGCTTCGCGGGCGATGGACGCTTCAGGAAGGGAACGTAGATGGTATACGCCGTCGCCACAATCGTCCTGAAGTCTGCGTCAGTTGGGGGGAAGCAGGGCTCTGCTAACCTAAGTACCACTCGGATTCACCATGTCACCGCCGTCCCTGTCAACATCGATATCAGCAGCGGACATTCCTCGGTCTCGCGGCGCCGGGCGTGCCGCCATATAAGCCTTGCGTTCAGACCCTTCCGATAAGCCGAATCAGAGGTGCGAGCACAACCTGAGCTCGTCCCAGGTCAACATGGTCCATCGCATCCTGGTCGCGTCGTACACAAGCGAAATCTATACCCTCGCGTTCGATCAGCAAGCGCCCTCGCTCACCTTGACTTCCACCATCACCGTCGGCCACCATCCCTCATGGATCACCGCGCATCCCGCCGACAAGAGCATCGCATATACGGCTCTCGAACAGAGCGAGGGAAGGATCATTGCGTTGAAGCTCGATGGGGAGGGTCGCGCTACCGCTATAGGAGAGGGGCCGAGCGGCGGTGCTGACCCGTGCTCGCTCGTCGCTCTGGATGAAGAGCTGCTTCTCGGGAACGTAAGTAAAGTCCAGCGTTGTCGTGCGAACCAACTGATCCCAAGTCGAGTCCAGTATAGCTCTGGCACCTTTGCTGCGGTGCCCTTATCCCTAGAACCGCCGTACATTGTCGCCGCGAAGACAGTCACCGTTCCCTTCACGGGTACTGGTCCCAACAAGGATCGCCAGGAAGGCTCCCACCTCCACCAGGTGATCCCGCATCCCCACTACAAGGAGCTGCTTATCCCCGACCTTGGCGCGGACAAGACCCGCCGGCTCGTCCGTGACGGAGATGGCACCTGGGCGGAAAAGGGTGTCATCTCGTACAAGGCAGGCGCCGGTCCTCGGCACGTCGCATTCTATGGTATGTTTTTTGAACTTCGAATCCGCAAAGGATGCCTGACGCGAGGATTGGTTCGCTAGAGGACGTGGTTTATACTCTCTTGGAGCTGACCAGCGAAGTGGTTGCGCACCGCGTGCCTCCTCTGCCTCAAGAGCCAATCCTCCTCGACACCATCTCGACTATGGCGACCCCTCCCCCGCCTGAGCACGCAGCCTACATGCTCGCTGCAGAGATTCTGATCCCCGCCCCCAACTCGTCGTATCACACGCCATACATCTACGTCTCGAACCGAAACGACCCCTCGCCGGAGGGCGACACGATCGCTATCTTCTCAACAGTCGACTCAAAGGGCAAGATTGGCTACGTGACCGAGGTGCGCTCTGGGCTCAAGCATCTCCGAGGTATGGTCTTTGGCGGCCCAGACGACAAGTACCTCATCGCGGGTGGTGTTCACGGCGGAGGCGTTAAGATTTTCGAACGGGTAGATGGCGGAAGGAGTTTGAGGGAGATTGCATCGATTGATCTCGCCGCGCCCACCGGCTTCTTGTGGCTCTAGTCCGGTCCTCGACGCGGATGGTGGTGCCGTTGGCGGCTTTTCGAACGCCTGTCTTCGTGTCTGTGTCTGTCGCATCGAATCAAAGCTCGCCAGATAGAAGTGTTGAATGTCAATGTATTCGGTGCGTTCGATTTCTATGACTACCGTCCGGTGTTGACCGTTGCTTCTCGCAGATTTATCATAGGCTCGTTAATGTATAACGTCTTATCGTTGCGTCTCCACTTAGCACCTCCAACTCCTAAGCACTCTGGCGTTGAAAGTCTTGCGCGATCAGCTGGTCATGCACTTGGGTACTGACATGGGGTCCTTCTGATTGGCACGCGAAGTGGTCTGCAGCGAAGCTTCTTGGTGACCGAAAGCAACCTACGTGTTCGGTTCGAACGCATCGCTGTCGTGCTCATCTCCATCCCCATCAGTTGTGAGAAGGCCCTTTGCTGAACTTGCTGAGCGGCACTGTCATTCCAGAGACAGCAGCAGCTTCCTCATCCATGTTACATCTAGCCTAACCCCGATATCCCCTGACCTCCCCGCACGTTATGTCGCCCTGACTTCGCCCTCTCCGCGGATTCCGCCTCGATAGAGCGGAATCCGCCTGAGGTACGACTTCTATCATGTCATCGTCGTGGGTTGTACCCACACTAGCACTGACCGGCATTCAAATCCAGGCTTCTTCTGGTTATTATTGGCCATTTCTCAGGCCGAAGGCGCTCTGACGTACAGTAGCGCCTCTCTCTACTGGTTCACTATAGCTTGATATAGCAGATAGCCTGTACTACACTGGAGATGGGCGCGCCGGCTACAGATCAAACATATTAAAGGCGGGCCCATCCTTGTCTCTCCCACTTTTGCGTGGTGACAGAGATGAGTCCCACCACGCTCGGTGGGCTTGATGCGTCGTCTCTATCCTATGTGCTCCTGCGGTCCCTTCGGCGCTGGCAGTTTCCTCAGCTACCCCTCGGGATGAACGACAGCTATGAAGATGTGATACGCGAGACTTACTCCATCATGTATGTCTTCCGACCTTACAAACATCCCTGGGTGCCTGACGTACGGCGTCTCACAGGCAGGTCGAGAATTATTGCATCATGGCGTCGACAGGTGAGTACTCCATCCTGCATCTGGCGATACACCCGAGTGCGCGTTGACTTATGCAGCTTTCGTCCTTCATGTGCGCTAGCCCTCTTGTGGCTGGACTGGGCGCTCATGTTCACCGTCGAGGTGCCAAGGATATGGAGACGGAAGTTCACGGGGGCGACGGTGGTATACCTTCTCAATCGGTACACTGCCCTCTTCGAGAGGGTCATGTTTATCCTAGAAGCGCTGTCATGGGACATGAGCGATCACGGGTACGAGCACTGCGAAAACTATGCCATACTGCGTTATCGTCTGTATTGACTACCGGCTCTCAGCTGCGGTGGATTGACCCATATAGACGATGCGCTCCTTGCGCTCAACTATCTCGCATTCGCTGGTGAGTCCAATCTGAAGGCATTTCGTTCCAGATCACAGAATTTCGTCCCAGCCTTCACCATCATACGCTTCTATGCGGTTTGGGGGCGTGATTGGAAGCCGCTGCTGGTGGTTATACCTCTTAGCATGGTTAGGCCTTTATTCTTCATTGTGAGTCATCAGCATCATGAGCGAGTGGTGGCGATTGTTTAACTTGCTGCAGGCAGGCGGTTCGTACTACGTACCTGTACAAGGAGGCTCACCTTTTGGCTGCATGCACGCCTATACCCTGCCTGACGATTTGATGTCCAAGTACGCAGTACCTGGTGACGACTCATCGGGATACTCTTTTGATGCTCACCATTACCGTTTGATATAGGTGTAAGTAGAATCCAAGTCGTCCGACAGGTGCTCATTTGGTACTGAACGTAATAGTCGAGACCATATCAACCGTGACTACGGTGATGTCGGAAGGTATCTTCCTGGCGCTCACTTGGATCCGAACGTATGGAATCAAGAGAGATTGCTCCCGCTTGGGTGTGCACGCACCACTCACGACGCTTCTACTACGAGACGGTGAGTACAGGCTCCGGCAGTACAGCGAACAGCACTTAGCTATTGGTGCTGTCAGGCACAGCCTACTTTGTGTGCGTAGTCCGTTCGTCTTTAGTGTAATTCAGCTCATCAAAAGACGACCAGTACCCTATTTCCGAGCAAGGCCGTGTCTATTGTCTCCAGTCTGGTACGCTCAATAATGTCTCTTCTGCGATGCGTGTTCACATTACCCTAGACCGACTCGGTGAGACTTCACCTGTCCATGTAGTGCGACACCTAAGCCAATCTTTCCGCTCAGCCATCCACGTTCCTCCGTGTCTGGCCATACTTCGACGAAGTGTGCGTCTAGCGACTATCTGTCTGTCCTGTCAGGTTTACTGACCTTCGCATTAGCCTCACTGTCTGCTTCCTATGCCGTTTCTTACTCGATCTTCGTGGCATCTACTTCTCCGACGGGGTGGAAAATGAGCTTGAGGGGAGCATGCACCTGTCCAACGTCAATTTTAGCACGGCAAATGTTATCGGCAACCTCGGCGCCACCTCGATGACACCCTTCCACTGTAGTGGTTTCCAGGATGATAGCGACGGCGACGGCGTCTACGATGTGGACAGCCCCGATTACGAAGATGGGGAGGATGACGAGGAACAGCCGCAGTTCAGAAGCGATCCCTTCAAAGACGGTATTGAGGTCCCGTCAAATATGCGCCATCGTCTATCGTACTGAGCCGGGCTCAGTACGAAAGAGAAGTGAGTGTTCCTCTGATGATAGCATGCCTTTGCCAACCAACGCGAGAACATAACGTAAAAACAGGTCCGATCTTGTATCATGCGCAGGAGAGTCTGAGTAGACACCGTGCTTCGAAAGAGAGATAGGCTACTGGTACTTTATACTGATAGGAATACTGCATCTCACAGTGCCTTCGTGACGCTACTTCCGGCCATACCTCCGCCAGGCAGAGTGAAGCTTATTGTCCTGGTGCGCTCGCTACCCCATCCCTTTGGCCTACGGCCTAACAATCCGACTTGGATCGCGAGGTTGAGGGTTGAAAAGGTTTGTGATGGGTCGGAGACGGTGACATTGCCATCATCAAGCTTGTAGATGACAGCAGAATTTGCTGAAGCTTGAATAGTGATGGGCGCATCCAGCAGCCCTGGCACGAAGGTGATAGAGCCGCCGAGAACGTCCCAGAACACAATCATCGCAGTGCGGTGCTTCGTGTCGTACGCGGCGGATACTGACTGATCGTTCCGGATGGAGAGCAACTGTGTGTCGGCGCGTTTGCGCTCGAATATCTTGAACGTCGTTGCAGGGTATGCGGTGTATGCGATAGGGACGTCGAGCCGGTTACCGGATCCGTGGTTGATCCACGCAGAGAAGAGGTCGACAGTGATGTTCCCCGCGGTCGAGACGCCGATGGCCGCCCAGTCGCCTGAGCGCGCCCCAAAATCAACTGCTAAGTCGGAACGGCTGTCAAGGAGCCCATGGTCAAACGTGTAGCCGACACCGTCGTGCCAGAGGGACTCTACGTATGAGAAATTTCCGCCCTGCCTGAGGGCACGTCCGTTGACGTAGACGTTGCCATTGAGACGCTTCTGGTCAATGACGGAGACGACGGGATTGGCTGAGGAGGAGTTCGATTCAGCGTACGAGATCATGATGTGTTGGACGTCGTCATCTAGGAAGAACCACGCCTTTTGGAAACTAAGGCTACCAGTGTAAGGGTTTGTGTACCGCATCGCTGCAGCGCCGACGCTGCCATCAGAAACACCTCCGACGAAGGCCTGGGTGCCGTTCCACTCTGTAAAGTTGCAGCTCAAGGGAGTAGCGTTGTAGTCCAACGTGGTGCCTGGGATCACTGTGCCACGAATTTCAGTGAAACCCCTCTCGCACAGTACCTAGGCAGCAGACTTACAGTTCCAATCCCATGCCGCCGCGATGTCCTCATATTCGTCGCCTTGCAGATACGTATAAAGTGTTCCATCTGAGAGGTGGAAGCCGAATGGCTGGGACGGGGAAATAATATTAGAATATGCCGCATCCACCGATTCCGTCAAGAGCCTACGTTTTGCGAATTGACACATTCCGTATTTGATGTACGGGCTGAGTACATCCGGAGCGTACTGACATATCCGCGGCCACGTTGCACCTTTGGGCAATCATATCTCAGTACGGCCAATGCCCGCGAAACTTGTCGACAAGCAGTGACTCACCATGTAGTCATTGTCGTAGAACATGCGGTTTCCTATAATATCACCAGAATTCGCTGTCCAGCTATTCACAGCAAGGCTGTTGTACACCGACTGAATGGTTTCCGAACCCCACAGATTGCCAAGTTCCTGGATCTGCGAAATATTGATCTTCAAGCTTGCTGTTGCTCTACATATCGAGGTGAGCAAGGAACGAGGACGTGAGATGCAGGACTCCTACTGGTTGTCTGATACGGGGAAGGTAATGAAGCGGGGCAAGACACTCTAGTGCGTCTACGGATCAGCGTCATATTGGATGGGGCAGCGAAGACACCTACGAAATCCCAATGTTGTACCCCTGTGATGACGTTGCGGTATACCATCCATAAGTCGCCGCCGAGCAAGGTCTCGAAGGCTGCTTGGGAGCTTGTGTTCGCATTCTGCGCAGAGAACTGCGTACCTGCTGCCGCTATCTCAAGCGCCAAGACATCGTTCGTGCTGTAATATTCCCGCCATTGACTCCTCGTCATTGGAGGTTATCGCGGATTGATTTAGGAACGACGCACTAGTCCTTCCCATAGTTCCCGTTGTAGATGATACCACCGTGCTGGCCGAAGCTACCGTCCTCCCGAATACCATCCGCACGAGTAGCGTTCTGCACCACAACCTCTCTATGGATTCTTAGGTAGCCCGCCGTGACGAGAGTCGCGTTGTTGGTCAGGAGCCCGGAGTCGATCCCTATCTTCGCCACATCAAGCGTGTTCGCGCCGGTCAAGAACCCAAGGCCGTTGACAGATCTTCCGAACGTGCCAAAGGCGCGGTCAAGGATATTGCTGCAATTGCTCAGCTGCGTCGGTGTCATATTCGCGGCACCGAGCAGGTTGCACGACTCGCCGACGAGCTCGGGGATACCGATAATCTGCGGATAACGAAGCGAACAGTCAAGTCTGCGATCGGGACTCGAAATGGTGGGAAGGGGTCTACATACGTTAGAGAACCAGTTGGTGTTCCAGAAACCGGGGGTGCCGCAAGGGCAGGTAGAAAGTCCTCCTTGGTCGAGGCACGACGGATTCGTGAAGTCATTCACGAACCAGTAATCCATTGCCCGCGAGATCGCATCGAGCAGCGAAGAATCGTTCTTGTAGTTCGAGGCATCTGCGAGACCGCCGTGCCAAGCGGCAGCCATTATCGCTAGAAGAACCCATTAACCACAAAGTTGATGTAGTTCACGCCCGCACGTACAAATGCGGGTCCAGTGATCTTCTGCAGGCCTACGAGAGGGAGAGGTCCTTCAGCTTCGATTTTATCCGTACGGCACTTCTGAAATCACTCACCAATTGGCACGTCGTGCGGTGCAACCGGTAGTATAATCGATCTCAGATTCGGGCCATTTGCCGTCGGCTCCAAGGGTCGACAGCCTGAGATATTTTTTGAGCGCAATGTCTCGAACTCAAATGGGGTTTGAGCTCACCAAGTCGATAGGTTGGCAGCGGAGCCAACGGCCTCGATGATGATCGACAATCGGCGATCGAGGACCGTCGCGATGTCAGACGCAGTGCCCGGATCAAGACTTTGCGTTGGGCCACTTGGCCCGGACGAGACGGTAGCTGACGCCGAACGAGAAGTGGCCGTTGAGTGTATGTGTATCGATGGAAAGACGGTCGAAGCGGAATAGCTTGCACTCGACGAGACCGCGGACACGGTAAGCGACGTCGTGAGCAGGGAAGAGGAGGCGGTACTAGTAGCAGCCCGTGCATGTGAAGTTGAAAATGGTACGCTCGAGCTGATACCTCGTGTGGAGATTGAGAGGCCAGACTGGGAGGTTCCCGCCGCCGCGACAGCGCCATAGCCCTCTTGGAGGTGGCATAAGAGCAACACGACACCGACCGCGACAGCCAGAATACGCTGCAAGGGGATACCTGTGCTTGCCATGGGGGAAACTCCGGGGCAGAAATCTCCTGGAGCCGATGGTGGAAGGCGGCAGGGCTGACAGACTTCACTTTTATGTGCGTTGGAACCTTATACGACTTGGTCCCGTGGCAGCGCTAAGGGCAGGAGTGCGGCCGGAAGCACGGCCGTATGATTAGGTTACGCCGCATTCGCCCAGCGGCCTGTTCGGCGAACAACTCCGCGACGAACACTGCAAGCAATGAGGCGAACGAAGGCTCGTCACCAGATGTGCCTGAGACGCGATCCGCCCCAGGCGGCGGCTACAGTGCTTGGCGAAAAATAATCGCAGTTCCGAATCGAGCTTGAGCCTCCCCGCAGGGTCAGCGCGGTGTCGTGTAGCCTGAGAGCAATATCGCAATCGGACCCGTTAGTCAATATTGTGCATCATGCACTATTTGGTTCAAATTCAGCAGTGGTTCCGGGGCTGAACGTGAACTTCCAGCATGCTCACCATACGATATTCAGACCTGCTGATCATGGATACACCGAAGCGACTCGAGACCCGCCTGCGAGCGTGTCACATGAACAATTGGACAGACAAGTGGTCAGCGGCAAATTTATCGGATAAGGCCATCAAATGTCCCTGTACATGTTGAGCCGACGGACTGAGGATGTATAGAGAATATGCTAAGGGTATCCGATCGAGTCAGATAGACAATCCTTGTTCAACCCAGCTACTTGTTGCATATAGCATAAATGCCCCCAGTGGCATTTCCGACGCATTTCCCTCCTCTACGTTCGATTGGGTTGTGATTATACTTAATACAACCTGTATAACGGCCGACTAGCTCAGTTGGTTAGAGCGTGGTGCTAATAGCGCGCCCTGCGCATGTTACGCCAAGGTCGTCGGTTCGACCCCGGCGTTGGCCAAGTATTTTTCCTGTACCCACCTTGTGTCAGGACGCTTGACTCGCGGCCCATGGTACAGAGGCAGCATGTACAACAGTGGCACTATATTTGTTGAACAGGTGCTGGTTTACACAGCTTGCTTAACACAGCCGTCACAAGATATGGAACGGCACAGCTGGTTACTGCAATAACCGAGGCTGTACTACTCATGTGGTACACACACAGCTTCGCTGTGTACGCACTGCATCTCTGTGCGACTGTGCATCCTGGGAATGTACTGTATAGTACTACGTAGCCACAGATGTACAGTAGTATATATAGGGGACCTCTGTACCCCCAATCTACAGTTCAGTTCACTCGAACGTCTCCTCTCATCGCTCTAACAAGCCTCTTATAACCAACAACCCTTCTAGGTGAGTTGCAGGCTATCCGCTGTCGTTGCCACCCGTGGGAGAGGCCTTCGCCCCCCGGGTTCAACAGGTTATGAGCCCTGCTCGACGCTGCAGAATCTGCGCCGCTCATTGCGTGCTGCGATCTGTAAGCTCGCAGCTCACCTGGATCTTTTGCCATCGTTATCAATGTGCAACCGCTGCTTGGATCTGGCACGATCATATGCTGCCTGCCATGCATGCGCTGTAGACTGTTGTGGCGCGCTTTG